TTATCATCTGATGTCAAACAACAGGATAATGGCTAAGAAAATTATGGTATATCTTCAAGACAGAATGCTATATAGCCTTTATGAAATATTTTATAGTTCTAAATCATATATGCAAAGGCTTATGATAAATTCCTGGAGTTTCAATAATACTAAAGAGTGGTGGTTTCTCTTGCCTATATAGGCTCTTTTTTCTCATTTCTGAACTTTCCAAATTTTCTATGAATGTTCGGGTCATAATTCGATAAATGAAGGAGATAAAGTCAAGAAGTAGAGATTATTTTGTGGCTTACCAATAACCTTTCCTTTGGTGTATGTAAGTAAAATTGTTAATCATATGCAATAAAAATGTACATACAGTTAGGTGACACTATGAAGAAAGTAAAGACAATTTTATAAATATCTTTTTCTTGTCAGTTGCTTCCTGCAAGCAAAACCTGTTGTGCAAATAAAACCTTGTAATCTTAATTCACTTTGGCGGTTTCATGCCAAAAATGGGTAGGTGAAGGCGGTTATTTGTAATGAATTAGAGGAAATGGAAAATAGTTTTAAAAGATTCCACAGTTTTCTGTTTTTGGATTTGTCTCCACTTTTCTTCCTTCAAGATGAGAAATTAAATGAGGTTTCATAAGAGAAAGTGAGTTTAATGAGAAAAAAAAAAGCCTCAGACTTCCTTTTGGGTCTCATCTTGTATCGTCAGGTTGCTTGTCTCTAACGTCTAGGGTGCGGCAAGAAAGGAGACTGGATTGTGCTGGAAGCCCAAAACCTACCGGGGAAACACTGCCCTCTTCAAGAAGTAGGCTTATTCTGTAAGTAGATACAACATGGTAAAGCCAAGACTGCTGCTGGATATCATCAATGGTTTTCAAAGTACGCATTTTTAAGCCTGGAGCACTTTGTTCAAAAACAATATAATTTGATGGTAAAAGAGATAAGATATGGGTGTGGAGGGCCTAGAGCCACACCTATTGGGAACTTGGGCTTCCCTGCTCTCCCTGGGGGTGTTGGGGTCAGCATAAGAGGGGATATGGAAGCTCCTAAATACACTGATCTGGTCTCATTCCCTCCTTCTACAGAAAGGGGAAATGAGACTAGATAGGGGCATAGATATGTTCAATGTCATACATGTTCCCTGATTAAAATAGTTCAGCTGACTCACCTGTAAAACAATCACAGTTTTCTAACAAAAGGATCAAGAGACTGTGCTGGGAAAATACTGAAGAAAGTGACAATATAACAGGATGCGTAAGAGAAGCAAGACCCCAAAATTGATATTAAAACATTATCACCCAAACCTATTCTTTCCATACCAAAGGAAATTTTACAACAGAGGTATGGCTTAGCAAATGAGATTTTATTTTTTTCTTCTATAATTTGGAAAAAGTTTTGAAAATACAGTAAAGCACAGACAGTGATATAAAAAAACTACCATGGACATTATCTTTTGTCTTTGCTTCATACATATTACATATTGTATATTTATATACACCCATCCGCACACAAACATGTGTATCTATATGTCTGCATGTGGCTCATAAACATAAGAAAGTAAGTTACAGAAGTCCAGCACCTTCAGACTGAGGGCATCTCCATGAGGATGAATTATGTTGTGCTGTAAAGTCCTAATGTTAGATAATACAGATATATTATATATCTGAAGCAAAGAAGACAAAAAATACATATTTAAGATTTTAAAATTATTTTATGTATTTATAATTATAACATACTGTGAAATTTATAAAGATATTAAATTTTTTACATATGTATTTAAACAAAGGAAATAACAGACTCAGTACAATTCAAGACCTCTCTATATTCCTTTTTAGTTCATTCCTCTCTTCCCCATTCCCAGAAGCAAAACACACTCATGAATTTAAGCTGAACCCTTATGTCCAAGGAACTTATGTTTGCTTATTTTGCCCATAAAAATAGATTTTTATTATCAAGATTTTAATTAAAATTAGGGGGATCTTCACATAGTTAACATGCTTGCCTTGAGATAATGAAAAGCTTTACTTGCTGAGAGGCAATTTTGTCACTCTAAATGTTTAAACTAGATTTCCTGAAAATAAAGTTCTTGTGACTGGTACAAACTCTACCGTAGTTTATTATTTTATTCCTTGGGTCCTTGTGCAGAGCCTGGCTGGTTCAGATTTATCATTCAGCTTCTTGAGTTTTGGTTGTTTGGTTAATGATCTAGGAGACAGAAGGCTCTTAAAGTCAGAGCCAATAAAAGCAGACATGACAGCAGAGGTGACGACCCCCTGTCCTGACATTGACGGAAACAAAAAAAGAACCCAGTAATTGGTTCTCTGCATACATGATATTGGATAGAGAAAATGTTAAATTACATAAGGGAGGCAGAGAGATAATATCTTTAAGAATGACTTTCATCAAAATTAATTGAGATTAAAAAAATTTTTTTAATACTTTGTTACTGTGGCAGTAACACAGTCCAGCCTTGTGTTCTGGCTCTGTCACTAGCTGAGTGTATCCAGGTCCTCCCAGTAAAATGGGAATAATACTAACAGTACCTACTTCATAGTAGTGGAGTGAGATAATGCACGTAAAGCATAGGCACGGAGCAAGCACACAGTACACGTTAGCTGCTAGTAGTAGTAGCCATAGTAGTAGTAGTATTTGGAAAACTAGCCTGTGTAGGAGAGTTCAGAAGCTCAGATGCGGAGAGGGCACAAACTTGGAGGCTCCCTTTGTCATCTGGATCCTTCACACCCCCTTACCAGCTGTGTGGGTCTGGGGACAGTGACAGTACAGAGGTTCTGGGATTGCTGTGAGTGGGTATGGAAGGTGCCTTAATGCCATGCTCTAGGAACATGCTCCATCAACATTAGCTATTACAAATATTCCAGAAAAATAATGCCTTAGTGTTCTTAAAGCACATCCTATTTTTAAAGTGCAGAAGCAACTCACAATTTCCCCACAGCAAGAAGTCAAGGGTAGCTGGAGGAGTGATCTGATTGCATTGATTAGTTTATCTAGGAACAATTTGTCTAGGTATCAGGACTGTATACAGTCATTGCTGTAAATACAGCATTGTCTAGTCACAGCTCTGCAGGAGACTCAAAAGATGGACTCTTTTTCCTTGCAAAGGGGTGACTAAGCTCCCTCTGAAATTCTTAGAAAGATCCCTGAGAAAGGGAGACATAGAAGATGCTCTTAAAAAAAGACAAGTGCATTCTGATAACAAGTGCTTTACAGTCCCAGGGCACTTCCGCACACATCATCAAACCTTCAAACTTCACAGCATCCCCAAGAGAAAGTAGGGATTATACCCATTTGTCAGAGGAGAAAAGTGAGGCACAGAGAATTTAAGTGACTTGCTCAAAATTCCTCTGTTGGTAAGAAGAGACTCCAGCTCTTTCCTGCTTGAAGTTCAGAATTTTTCCTGCTCCTGCAAGACTGTGAATGTTCCTTGCTGACTTACCTGCCTTTGTGGGAACTATTTTGTTTCTCCAACTTTTTTGTCGCCTTATTTGTTTTAGGCAGCATAACTCTAAATCGCACATCCTTACCTATGACATTATGTATACAGTGTGTGTGCGTATGTGCATGGATGTCTGAATGCCCACATGCACCCATGCACACATGTAAGCACAGGCTCGACAAATGAAGTTCTTTTCACATTTTATTTCATTTTAAGTGTACTTTTAAAAGATGAAAATCTTAAAGACCACTGAGATTCAGCCAAATTTTGAGTACACTAAATCACTTTTTTGGACTGAAGCCTGAGCAGTAATTCAGTTCCAACAGAGGGCAAAAAAAGGGGGGTTTTCGCTTTAAATGAACCGTAGTTCTTTTCCTGAAAACACGATCTGATTTCTTTTATAAAAGAAGAGCAAAAGAACTTTTGTTACCACCTCCAGCTGACAAACCCGCCTCCCACACTATTGCCTTGCAGCAAAAGGAAGGGACATCAGGTGACAGACCCCAAATTTCAACTAGTAACACAAATTACAGACCTTCCTATCTTGATGTCCTCTTGACCTTTTGCCTTTCCCCTACAATGAAGAATGAGACACAGTTTAAATCAAAATGACTCTCATGGGCAATTCTACAAAACAAATAGAAGGCACAGGGTCTCCCCCCACCACACACTTCCCCCCAGCTTCCCCCGCTGGGCCAGCCTGTTCCCTCGTTCCACGCAGGCAGGAGCTAATAATTAGAGAGCCCTTTCACACCCCAGACAATGACGCTCTGCTTGCCAAGAGCCCTGTGTGCTTTGAAGAAAGAGTTTCACAAAGTAAATATTTACAGAACAACTATAATAAGATGCCAAGTCCCACTTGCAGGGGACACTTAGAGAAAAATTGACAAGAAAGGACTTCTCTGTGTGGCACCACATTGCCTCATGCGGGATCCTGATCCAAAGTCGGTTTGGGTTCTGTCAGCCTTTCTTTTACTTAGCCTTTTAATTTCCATGTGAGGACACTTTTCACAGAATATAAGAATAATTACATTTGCCTCTGAAGACTCAATTCAGAAATGTACTGGTTCGGGACCACAGGAAAGAGTCTTTAAATATTGCAGCTTCCAGCAGTAGGGGAAAGAAAGCTTTGCAAAGTCAACAGAGAGGAAATTAAGGGCAGGGATAATTAGCACTCAGAAAATGTCATTGTTTTTAAAACATTTTTTTGAGATAGGCTACTTACTGCTTAAACTCTCGTCAAGTTTGTATTACCTGTAGATCTGTTATCTATAAAACTGTGGGACCTGAGCTCAAACATGGTGAGAATCAAAACAGGTGCCCCCGCCTGTTCTCATTATGCACGTTAGCCCATGGCCTTAGCACAGCCTGTTAAACAGCTGAATTTGAAACAATCACAGCGCAGGCCAAACACTAGCCTGAAGGCCTGTCTGTCTTGGGATTTGGCCATTTACATTGATTTTTTTTTTTTCCCCACATTTTCCATGAAACACAAATATTTGCCATGGCAACTGGGGTGTCACATGACATGCTGCTCCATAAACAGCTTGGAAATCTCTAAAGGGGAAACAGCCCACCAGTGTTGCACATAGAGTGACAACATCTTGAGGAAGATTTGGCGTTAAAAGATGAAGGTCTAGGAAGAACAGGTAACAGTTTACTTTGTAGACACAGTAGGATTAATTTCTTCCCTGCCTCATTTCAATTTCTCTTTCTTTCTTTCTTTCTTTTTTTCTTTAATGGGAGCAGCTGTAAGCGTTGGTCACATAGGGTAAGCTCAGAAAAAGGCACTGCCAGCTGTCTCCTTTCTATGGTGAAAAGTTTCAATTATCACAAGTCTGTGGCTCATAAACATAAGCAAGCAAGCTAAGGAAGTCCAGCACCTTTAAACCGAGGGAATCTCCATGAGGATGGGTTATGCTGTACTGTGAAGTCCTCATGGTAGAGAAGACCGAATTTCTTCCCCTTCCTCATCAAGATACACTTGCAAAATTGGAGAGCTTGCTTTTTTATCCGATGCTTACAGACAGATGAAACATAGCAAAACCTCACAATAACATACCCTATGCAACACAGATTTGGATATAAAGCAATAGCTTTTGCATTCTGCACTCCTGGACTCTTGACCAGCTAGCAGCCTAGGTTGGCCCTATCATTTATTAGTGTCACAATAACGCAATATGACTGAATCTTTTTAGACCCCACTGATAATCTCATGATAGAGTTTACCTGTATAACAATCCCCCCTTCTAAAATCAAATGCATCCTAGCTGCAGCTGAAATAATATTTATTTCTAGGTAAAGGTATGAATTCTATAAAGCATTACCAAAAATCTCACTGAGAATATTATAAATAAAAACAATTTTCTCTTGTTAGTTAGAAATATGAATACCTTTGATCTCTGTTTCTTGGGAGAGAACTTCACTTCTGGAATCGGCTGTGGTCTCTGAGGCGTAGCGGCAAAAGGGGCTGTGGATGAGGTGGTGCAACGTTAAGTCTTCCAGAAAGAGGCTGAGTCATTGCCCTGATGCTATGTTTGCACCTTGAAAGCCAAATGGCTGTCACCCACTGACTTCACTATCACCTTCCCTGTATCAATTCAATGAAACATTGTAATCGTTGACTTCAAAAGGAAAGCCAAAAACATGGGAAGGCAGCAGCTCCATCAAGATAGAAGGGCAGCTGGCCTTCTGCAAGCTGCCTAGATGAAAATTTTGAAAGTGAGCAAATGAAAGAGTAATAACATTTGTCTTATAAAATGTTTTGCCATGAGATTTCTTAAATGGCCCTATTCCCAAGTTCATTTAATAGATAAATAAATATAACTACATATGGACTATTTCATTGTGTAGTCACTAAAAAAGATGATTCTAAAGAATTTAAATGGCTTGGGGGAAATTATAAGAGGAAAACACTGTATATGTTATATTTGAAAGTAATTACATCTGTAAACAACAACTTTTGGAGAACACATGTCACCCCCTAAGTGGGTAGGCTCATAAAATGGACAACAGTTGGGAGAGAAATCAGATCTCTCTTGTCGCTTGGAAGCCAAACAAACTGCCTTTTACAAACAGCCCAAGTCTGACATTCTCAGGGGAGAAACATCATTACACTACTCTTTGCAAGAAGGAGAACAAAAATAATTTAAATCGTTAACTGGGTCAAGGATCTGAGGCTTCTTTTAACCTGCTTCTTAGTTCACCCCTTTTCTGTCAGTTCCATAGTGACGGTTTTCGAGAGAATTGACAGATATTGATCGAATACAGCTTGTCAGTGTTCAGTTTAGAATCCCACCTTGAGGAGTCTGTTCTCATAATGCCTCAAGGTGGCTGCAAGGAATCTCTTCAGCCATCTCTTTAAAAGTGCCAAGAATTCCAGAGTATTGTTACTAAAACTCAAGTCCACGAAAGGGATTTGTTGCATCTGATCAACTTGGTTTTCTCCCCCTTTCCGATTTCCCTGGCTCCCAGGATCCTCCCTGACTCTGAAGCTGCCCTTCACCTTCCCCAAGTCTGGGCCCTTGGCTATAGTGTTTGAAGACTCCATTTAAGCCTACAAACAAGTCTTTGCCTTGACCGCTGTGTTCTGCTCTGTTGTTCACTTGGACTTTGCTCCCCCACTTCTGAAGGCCAGTCCACACCCTGCACTCAGGCTGCTTTGAATTCAGAGATTTACCTGTAAAGCCCATTATTCCTATTGTCTGCAGTCTCCATACACTTTCTGTTAAAACTTTCTGGTTCCTGCAGACAAGAGAGATTTGTGGCTGAATTCCCACATTGAAACAAAATAGCAGCTGATAAGTTTTCAAGTAGGCACAATAAAGGATTTTAGTAAAATTTTAATGAAATTTGGTAGGATAAAGAGTTAAAAGATTTCTGATTTCACATGGATAATCCATAGTTAATGGTATCTCAGAAAAATGTATTACATTTTTCTTAGTTACATGCAAGAATTCTGTCACTAAAGTATAACTTCATACAGCCTTGGTTTTTATGGGACACGTGCATTAGAAGAATGTGTCTGCTCTTTGACAAAACTATAATTTATGGTACTGCCAATTTTGCTACTCCATTTTCCCTCTGGAAAAGTCTGTATGATAAATTTTGCCAGAGTTAATGTTGGGAAAAAAAAGAACTTGTCTTTCTGGACAAACCTATATGCTTCTGTGGTAGTTACTGATACGTGCTTGCCGAGTGCCCATCTCCCTCTCTTTCTTGCTAATTGTAAACCCCCATTTTGTCAAGATACAATATGCGAGCTCCGAGGATTGCCAGATTTAGCAAATTAAAAAAATAAAGACAGTTAAATTTTAATTTTTGATAAAGAACAAATGTTTTAGTGTAAGTATGCCCCAAATACTAAATATATTTAATTTCCAACAAAGGACAGAATTTTCATGAATAGATTAGACCAAGCATAACTTACCATACTAAGTAGTATATGTATGTCCCAAATCCTAACCCTAACCCTATGCCTGGACGTTTACTTTCCCAGCATTCCTTATAGCCAACAGTGGCCATGTGACCAGTGAGATGTAAGGGGAAGTCCATCCAGGGACTGGCATCACTATTTTCCCTTTCTCCTGCCTGGAATGTGTAAGTTAAGACCCAGATCCACAGAAGTAGTCTTAGAGGCATGAGGTGGCAAACAAGGGGGTAAAACCAAACATGCTAAAGAAGGCAAAGAAGAAAGAGACCACCAGCCCTGGAATGCCTACTTGCTGGTTTCTTATGTGTGAGGCAAATGAACTCCTCATTGTTTAAGCCACTGGTAGTTGAGTTTTCTCATATTTGCAGTCACATGTGCTGAGGCCTCAAGGACCAAAGTTTTTAATAATGGTGGCAATAGTGGTCACCCTTGAACTCTCAATGCTTTTAATGGAGAAATAAAATGCTTCTAAAGTTTCCCTACTAAGCATATTGTTTGCTCTGGGGTTTTGATTGAAGACAATAATCAGGTTCAGAAAATTCTCTTCTACTTCTAAACTGCCCAGTTTTTTTCCTTATTATTAATGTTGAATTGTATTGCATGATTTTTAAATTTTGGCATATATTGAGATGATCATGGGGATTTTGTTTTGAATCTGTTAATACATGGTGAATTACATCATTAGATTCTTCTCATGTTGAAAAAACATTCTTCCTTGATCATGATGAATGCAGAAAACATATGCTAACTTTTATTTAGAACGCTTACCTCTATGTTCCTGAGACTGGTTTATCTATCTATCTACCTATATGTGTTTTTGCACTTTCCTTGTCCAATTTTGGTGCTGAAGTTATATAACTTTGTAAAATGAGTTGATAAACATTCCTTCTTTTCTTCTTCTATGAAATAGTTTAAAATAAGAATTACCTGCCCCTTAAGGTTGATAAAACCTGCCTAAAAAAGGCTTGAGGCTTTTTTTCTCTGGTATATTTTTGTATGTGTTGGTGCACATGTGCTATGTCCATCTCTATGCTTGAGACAGAGAAATACTTTTGACTACCAATTCACATTATCTAAAGGTAGTGTTTCTTTAAGTTTTCTATTTTTTGTTGAGTTAATTTTGGCAACTTAGATTTTTCTAGGAAAATTTTTATTTCATTTTAAAAAATGATGGGTGTAAAGTTACCATACTATGATTTTTAAAAAATTCTGTTGTATCTATAGTATCTGTCTTCTTTCATTTTAGTGTTATTTGTACCTTCTCTTTTTTTTAATTTCAGCATTATTGGGGTATAATTGACAAATTAAATTGTAAGATACTTAAAGTGTACATTGTGGTGATTTGATATGCATATACATTATGAAAAGATTCCTCCCCTCTAGCTAAATAACACATCTATCATCTCACGTATTCTTTTAAAATCAGTGAGAACGTTTAAATTTTACTTTCTTAATAAACTTCAGTTATACAATACTGTGTTACCAACTATAGTCACCACGTTTTACATTAGATCTTCAGATATTTTTCATCCTACAGCTAAAAGTTTATTATACCCTTTTATTAACCTCTCCCTATTTTCCCTCAATCCTTCAACCTCGGAATCACTTTACTACTGTTTCTGTGAGTTTGACATTTTTTGTTTAGATTCCACATAAAAGCGATACCATGCAGTTTTAGTCTTTCTTTCTCTGGCTTATTTCACTCACATAATGCCCAACAACATGGTTTATCTTTTTAAGACTGAATAATACTTGTATATGTATGTATGTGTATGTTTGCTGCATTACATTTTTATTTTTATTTTTTTTACTTTCTCGAGGAAACGCCATACAGTTTTCCCTAGTCACTGTACCAGTTTATACTCCCCAAACAGTGCACAACGATTCCCTTTCCTCCACATCCTCACGAGTATTTATCTCTTGTATTTTTTGATAGCAGCCATTCTGACAGGTGTAAGGTGATAGCTCATTGTGGTTCTGATTTGCATTTCCCTGATGATTGGTGGCATTGAGTACCTTTTCATGTCCCTGTTGGCCATTTATTTGTCTTCTCTGGAAAAAAATCTAGTTAGGTCCTTGGCCCATTTTTAATTGGATTACCTGGGGCTTTTTGCTGTTGAATTGTATGAGTTTCTTATATATTTTGAATATTAATCCTCTGTCGGACATGTGGTTTGCAAATATGTTCTCTCATTCCACAAGTTGCCCTCTCATATT